TTGCTGATGTCCTGCTGGCCAAAGCCAGTCCCACGGCCCAGGCTGGAGTCAGTGTGGGAGGGGCTGACCCAAGGCATGAATCCCAGCAGGCGTGGTTCATCGGGAGCTATCACCATAGCAACCTGTCATTGAGTGTGGCCCTGGGGTCAGGGTCCAGAGGCAGCACCTCCTCATTGTCCAGAGAGGGCACCTGCTCACACACTCAGCACGGCTTCATGACCTGTTTCTAGGGATGAAGACTTAAGTGTCCCCAGTTCCTCTGGAGTCAGAACTGACAGGGACAGCAAGGAGGCCAGTCACACAAGCGTGGCACCTCACCCACAGGCATAGATCTCAGTCAGACCCCTGCTCCCAGACCCACTCAGAGCTGGGGTCACTGACGTTTTGGTCCACAAGCTCATCCATGCACAGTGGCCCCATCACCAGACTCCACATCAGTGAGAGCCTAGATGTAAATGACAAAGCTCAGCCCATAGATTTCCTTGGTGGCTCAGACGGTAAAGCATCTGCCTACAATGTGGGAGACCTGGCTTCAATCCCTGGGTCGGGAAGATCTCCTGGAGAAGGAAATGGCAACCCACTCCAGTATTCTTTTTTTTTTAATTGGAGGCTAATTACTTTACAATATTGTGGTGGTTTTTGCTGTACATTCATATGAATCAGCCACGGGCACATGTGTTCCCCATCCTGACCCTGCCTCCCCCGTCCCTCCCCCTCCCATCCCTCAGGGTCATCCCAGTGCACTATCCCTGAGCACCCAGTCTCATGCATCGAACCTGGATTGGCGATCTATTTCATATATGATAATATACATGTTTCAATGCTATTCTCTTAAATCATCCCACCCTCACCTTCTCCCACAGAGTCCAAAAGTCTGTTCTTTACATCTGTGTCTCTTTTGCTGTCTCATATATAGGGTCATCGTTACCATCTTTCTAAATTCTATATATATGTGTTAATATATCGTATTGGTGTTTTTCTTTCTGATTTACTTCACTCTGTATAATAGGCTCCAGTTTCATCCATCTCATTAGAACTGATTCAAATGCATTCTTTTTAATGGCTGAGTAATATTCCATTGTGTATATGTGCCACAGCTTTCTTATCCATTCGTCTGACGATGGGCATCTAGGTTGCTTCCATGTCCTGGTTATTGTAAACAGTGCTGCGATAGACATTGGATACATGTGTCTCTTTCAATTCTGGTTTCCTCAGTATGTATGCCCAGCAGTGGGATTGCTGGGTCATATGGCAGTTCTAGTTCCAGTTTTTTAAGGAATCTCCACACTGTTCTCCATAGTGGCTGTACTAGTTTGCATTCCCACCAACAGTGTAAGAGGGTTCCTTTTTCTCCACACCCTCTCCAGCATTTATTGTTTGTAGACTTTTTGATAGCAGCCATTCTGACCAGTGTGAGATGGTACCTCATTGTGGTTTTGATTTGCATTTCTCTGATAATGACACTCCCGTATTCTTGCCTGGAGAATCCCATGGACGGAGGAGCCTGGTGGGCTACAGTCCATGGGGTCGCAAAGGGTCGGACACAACTGAGCAACTTCACTTTCACTTTTTCTTTAGCTCACTGTAAGTGCTCAACTGGCCCGCCCCCCACCCCCAGCCCGCCTCTCTGCCCCCCACCACGTCTCTGGCCCGTGGTCACGCCCCTGTCGGTCCATCTGTCTGCGCTCTCCTTTCCGCCCTCCCACCTTCTTTCTCCATCCCTCCCTGTCCGTCTGCCTCTCTGGCGTCCCGGAGGAGGTCTGCTCACACTGCCCTTGCTGTCCTTGGCCTTGCTTTCTCCTTTCTTTCGCTTTCTCTCCAGGCCTCTGTCGCTCCGAGGTCTCCCTTTCCCTCTCCTCCCCTCCTTCCCCTTCTTCTGTGCCTCTGCATACGTGGCACTCTCCGTCTCTTTCCCTCTGACCTCTCAGATTCCTCTCTGTCTCTCTCTCCTTCCCTCTCGGCCACCTCCATCCTCCCCCTTCTCTTCTTTCTTCCCTTCCTGCTCCTTTCCTCCTTCAGCCCCTCAGGGTAAAGGACACACAAGGCCACCTTCCCAGTACAGCCCCTGCTATCCCAGCCTTGGGTCCTGCCCTATCCCAGCCTCGGGTCCTGCCCTGGTCCCCAGAAGGGATTCCTCTGACAGCCCCAGTGTTGAGGTCCAGCCCCGGGGAGATGGGCAAGGAGCCCAGTGCATGACTGGAAGCATGGCTTTCCTGATTAGGACGGAGAACCGCATAAGCAGCATCAGTCTATCAGAGGCCTGCGCTCTCCCCTTGTACCTGAGGCTGGGTGGGGCGGGGGATACCAGGCTGGCTGGGCAGGGGCCCTCCATCCTTACTGAGGTCCAGCAGAGCCATCCACAGCATGGGCTCTGTCCCCAGAGAGCCTGCTGGAATCCTCACTGTGCGCTTTCTACATGTGCGACCTTGGGCCAGTACTTAACCTATCTGTGCCTCCATGTCCTCATCTGTAAACTGGGTATAATCACAGCACTGTCCTCATAAGGCTGTGGAGAAATTTAAATGAGGCAGTTCCCTTAAGGTGCTTAGAACCACAGCAAGCACAGGGTAAATGCACATCCATGTCAGTTATTGTTGTTACTGTCACATGCAATTCTCATGAGACGGAACTCTATCCCAGGGATTCTCAACCAATTTTGCCCCCCAGGGACCATTTTCCAATGTCTGGAACTGTAGCTGGGAGGGGGAGGGTGCTGCTACCAGCATCTCGTGGGAGGAATTATCCTGCCCGGGATGTCCACGGTGCCAGTTGGGGAAATCCTGCTCTTTGGGGAAGTATGTGATGGTCCCAGTTTATAAATGAGGGAACTGAGGTCCAGAAAGGTGAGGGCTTTTGCTCAAGATCACCTGGTCAACAAATGGCAGATCTGGGATTTATTCTAAGTTCGTCTGCTTCCGAGTCTCTCCTGCCCTTGGAAAGATCAGTCCAGGCCAAGGAAGAGTCAGGAGGGAGCTTATTGAGGAGTCTTGAAGGCCACTGATAGAGGGTCTCTATGACCCCTGATGAGACAGACTGCACTTTCCGTATCTCCATGGGGTCCCACAAAAGCAGGCCCACCCCCTACATGCACCACCTCTGGCTCCCCCAGTTACACACACACACACTATAGCCTCTTCTCCCGTTCCATTGCCTTTACTGGAGTCTAGGGACTGTCTGGGGACATCAGGAGGGAGAGGTTGGGTTTTATGGGGCGCATCGTGGGGCTGCTGGTGCGTGACTCCACCTGGCGCTCAGGCCCTGTGCACCACCTGCCACCACCTGGCGCTCACAGGTTGAAGTGGGTCAGGGGTGGGGGGGCTCTGACTGGTGCATCAGCTCCCCCCGCTCCTGATCTCCCACCGTGTAAGCGTGTGTGCAGGGAGACCAGAAGTCCAGCCTTCCCCTGCTCAGAATTCATCTCACAGCCACCCCCTCCTGCTGCCCCTCCGCCTGCTTCCATTAACAGTTTGAAGGATTGTCTGATCAGCAATTAGCTGATGCCTGGACAGAGAATCTAGGGCTGGGCCCTGGAGGAAGGGGCTGGGGTCCCCAGGGCTGGGGATGACTTAATCGTGGAGGGTGTATGTGTATGTGTGTGAGAATAAGTGTGTGCTAATAGCTATGTGTGTGCCTGTGCATGTGACCTCATAGGTGTTACCTGTGTATTAATGTATTAATGTGTTAATAGTACATCTAAGTATGTGAGACATATCAGTGTTTTTTTGTTGTTGTTCTCTTTTTTTTTCCCATTTGTTTTTATTAGTCGGAGGCTAATTACTTTACAATATTGTAGTGGTTTTTGCCATACATTGACATGAATCAGCCATGGATTTACATGTGTTCCCCATCCTGATCCCCCCTCCCACCTCCCTCCCCATCCCATCCCTCTGGGTCTTCCCAGTGCACCAGCCCTGAGCACTTGTCTCATGCATCCAACCTGCACTGGTGATCTGTTTCACCCTTGTGTGTGAGACATATCAGTGTTTATGTGCAGGTGAGTGTGACTCCATCATGAGTGTGTTTGAGAGTGACTGTCAGGCAAGTTCACTCAGTTAAACATTCACCAAGCTGCTATACTGGGGCTGGCTCTGGGCTGACTGACACTGACCCAGAGATGAATCAGACAGAGGCCAGGCTCACCCAGAATATGTCGGGATTCCCCCTCACATGGGGAAACTGAGACCCCAAAAGTGGGATTGGAGGCTCAAGGGGGGGTCACACAGTGCCTGATTCTAGGCCCTATGCCTCTTTCTGGTAAACTAAACAGTCCATATTCTATTACTTTTGTGTTGCCTGTGAGTGTGTGAATGTGCATGTATGTGTGTGAGTGTATGGATGTATGTTAATATGTCTGTATATAACGTGTGTGTTTATGTGTTTAAGTGGGTGGGAGGGTGTGTGTTTTAAAGTATATGTGCATGTATCTGGGCTTCCCCAGTGGCTCAGTGGTAAAGAATCCACCTACAATGCAGAAAACGTGGGTTTGATCCCTGATCTAGGAAGATCCCCTGGAGAAGGAAATGGCAACCCACTCCAGTGTTCTGGCCTGGAAAACCCCATGGACAGAAAAGCCTGGTGGGCTACAGTCCAGGGGTCACAAAGAGTTAGACATGAACTGAGCGACTGAAGACACATGCATGCGTGAATCTGATGTGTGTGAGAGCAGTGTGTGTGTGAGGGTATGTGTGTGGAGTGCTGAGTGTGAGTTATGTGTGAGCCTATCTGTATAAGCGTGTGTGCGTGTGTGCGTGCGAGCGCGCGCGCATGTGTGCGTGTGTGTGCGTGCGTGCATCTGTGTGTGCACCCTCGCACGTGTGTGTGTGTGTGTGTGTGTGTGTGTGTGCTGAGCCCCACACCTGCATGGTGGTCGTATCAGTGTCTTCTGCATCAGTGACTCCCCTCCTGAACTTGAATGAGCATGGCCTCTTCTTGGGGAGGGGTCTCCGTATCGGTTGGCAGCTGGCAAGGGGCATCCCTGGCCTCAACCCCCCCACCCACAGGTGTGATCCGGACGGCTGTGCCCGACCTTGACCGCGAGAGCCAGGAGCGCTACGAGGTGGTGATCCAGGCCACAGACATGGCGGGCCAGCTGGGTGGCCTCTCCGGCTCCACGACCGTCACCATTGTGGTCACTGATGTCAACGACAACCCACCCCGCTTCCCGCAGAGTGAGTGAGGCCTTCCCGGAGGGAGGAGTGCATCTGTGTGTCTGTCTGGTCATCCCTCCCAGCCACCCTCTGACCCCAAGTTGCCCCGCAGCCTTCTCACCATAGAGGGACTCCCTGATCTGTCCATCTGTCTATCTGTCCAAGTCACCCACTAGCCCCCTCCACCCTCCAATCTTGCCTTTTGCAGGAGACAGCCCCAAAGTTGTCTGACTTTCCACACATCCATGTAACACACTTACCACCCCTCCCTGCAGCTTGCTTCTGGTCAAGAGTGAGCCCCCGTCTGTCCACCCACCCCAGCTGGTCCTTGCACACACCCCTGTCACGCTTATGTGTGATCTGCTACTGACCCAAGCTTACAAAGGTACACTGGGGATGGAGGGACAGACACAGGGGTCCTTTAGACATGCAGACAGAGGGTGCAGCCATGCCCAGGGGCACCTATCATTTTGCATAGAAATGCTAGGGTCTGGAGAGACAGGTCTTTCCCTTCTCCTCTGAGCCTGCAGGACTCTGCTTCTGAACTGGGGGAGAGTGCTTTCCACTCTCCGCCTCCCCAGGCACAACAGAGTGTGGTGACTTCTCTGGCCCAGTCCCCCACCTCCCGTCAGCCCAGCCAGCCCCTCCGTCCCAGCTTCAGACGAGAAAGCTGTGCCCAGGAAGCCGACGAAGCTGGCAGAGACTAAATGCCGCGGGGAGCTGGGCTGATTCCTATCAGGCGAGTCATTACTTGAGGTCTGCTGCTCTCACATTAGGCCCTGCCACAAGGGACTGACCCCCGAGAGATAAGGGAATCCAATCCCCTAGCTGAGAGCACAGCGCAGCCTAAGCGCCTCAGTCCAGACGCAGAGCGGGGTGGGCAGAGCCTGCCAGCCAGCTCCCCGTCTTTGCTGTTGCCGGGGGAACCTGGTCCAGCAGCCGCCCTCAGCCACTCCCCCAGCCCAGCCCCACTCACTTGATGGGGAAGCTTCAAAGCCCCTGTGAAGGGGCGGGGGCCACCCAGTATTCTGTGTGCCAGGCTGTGTGCCAGCCCTGAGCTGGAAGGGGTGGGGCAGCAGAGGGGCCAGGGCCCCTGGAAGACTCTTGTTTATTCATTCATGTATTCTTTCTTTTTTTTTTTAACCTTTTCATTTCATATTGGAGTATAGCCAATTAACAGTGTTGTGATAGTTTCAGGCAGGCAGCAAAGGAACTCAGCCATACATACACGTGTATCCATTCTCCCCCCAACTCCCCTCTCATCCAGGCTGCCACATAACATTGAGCAGAGTTCCCTGTGCTGGACAGTAGGACCCTGTTGGTCATCCATTTTTAATATAGCCGTGTTGCTCATCTATTCTTTCTTTATTTCTTTATTGGGAAATACAGCACAGAGACAGAAATGCATAAAATATAAATGTCCAGTTCAACACATAATTACAAAACAAACATTCTTGTAACCACTGACCAGGACCCAGAAGCTGCCACAAGTCCTTTCTTGATCATAACTTCTCCCCCTACCTCTTCTTCCAGAGTTAACCACCGCCCACTTTCATGATCATCATCTCTTTGCTTTTCTTTTTCTTTTTTATTTAAGTATAGTTGGTGAGTAATAGGGGCTTCCATGGTGGCTCAGATGGTAAAGAATCTGCCTGCAATGCAGGAGACCCGGATTCAGTCCCTGGGTGGGGAAGATCCCCTGGAGAAGGGAATGGCAACCCACTCCAGTATCCTTGCCTGGAGAATTCCGTGGACAGAGGAGCCTGGCGGGCTACTATGCATGGGATCGCAAAGAGTTGGACACAACTGAGCAACTACCACTTTCACTTTCTTTGATGTATATTATGATGTAAATTATAGGTGTACAATACAGTGATTCATAATTTTTAAAGGTTTACTCCATTTATAGTTATAACTAATTATAAATTAGTTGCTATATTCCCTGTGTTGTACAATATATTCTTGTAGTTTATTTTAAACCTAATAATTTGTACCTCTCAATCTCCTCCTCCTATATTGCCCCTGCCCGCTTCCCTCTTCCCGCTGGCAACCATTAATTTGTTCTCTGTATCTATGAATCTGTTTCTTTTTTTTTTATTCTTTAGATTATATATATAAGTGATACCATACAGTATATGTCTTTCTTTGTCTGACTTATTTCACTTAGCATAATGCCCTCCAAGTCCATCCATCTTGCTGCAAGTGGTAAAATTTCACTTTTTTGTGGCTAAGTAGTATTTCATTATGTATAAATATGCATATATACCACATCTCCTTTATCCAGTCCTTTTGATTCACCCATGTAGGCATCATCTAACATTATAGTTTAATTTTATAAGTTTTTTAACCTTATCTAAATGGAAACTCACAATACAAATGATTCGTCTTGTTTTTTTATCTCCCCAAATTATGTTTGTGAAATCACATGTTATTGCTTCTAGCTAGAATTTATTCATTTTTAGTGCTGTATAGTATTCCATGATTTATCTATTCTCCTGGCAATGGACATTTGGGTTGTTTCTGGTCTGAGGTTATTATCGAGGACACCACTTTGAATATGGTTGTATGTGTCCTACTGCTGTTTTGCATGCAATTTCATTGTCTACAGAGGAGCAGAATAAACTCATCTTCAACTTTACTAAATAAAGCCAAATTGTTTTCCCCCATGAAGAAATGCATGTGTCCATCATACCATATCCTCACTGATACTTGGTATTGTCAGATTTCTTTCATTTGTGTTAATCTAGTGAGTGTATACTAGTAACTCATGCTGCTTTTCATTCATTCACTCACTAGTCACTCAAACATTCCATTTATGTGACAGCCTGGTGTTCTGCCAGGCACCATGAATGCCTGATGAATAAGAGATGTGGTGCCTGCCTTGCAGGAGCTCATAGCCCGGAGGGAGGGAGGGAAAAGAGAGAGGGAGGGAGAATAACAGAAAGTAATAGGGAGATGCAGTAATCCTTACAACAGAATAAGCTTAGGGGCCCTGGACACACAGGATCAGAGCCTGGAGATCTGGGAACCTTCCCCGTTATAGGAGGTAATAGTCAGTGAGACTAAAAAGGAGGGGAAACAGGGGAAGTGAAGGTAGAGAGGAGAATAAAGAGAGGAAATGTCTAGAGGTGGGACAGAGCAAGTCATCGTGAAGGAATTCCAAGAACTTCAGCCAGGCTAAGGCTCACGTTGAGGTGGGGAGTTGGAGGCATGAGACTGCAGAAGTCAACAGGGGCCAACGGGCTTGTACAACTTCACCCCAGGTGCAGCGGGGAGCTATGGCAAAGAGTGGGGGGTGGCATGGTCAGCTTGTGTTAGGAGTCACCCCGACACACTTATGTGAGAGTCAGTCAGAGACAGCCACACCACACAAGGGTATCCAGACCAGTGGGGGCTCCAAGAGAGACACATCCCCAGTGCCACAGCCCCTGCTTCCCCTGGGCGGGCCCATCACTTAGCAAATCACCCTCACCTTCATCTCCACTCTGGGAGGAGAGCAGGGAGCCATTTGAGTTCTACTTGACCATCGCTCCTTCTGGCTTCCCCTCCGCTTCCCCACTCGGGTAACAGTGGTCATCTTGCTATTCTTCAATCATGCCAGGCATTGCACCCACCTCAGGGCCTTTGCACCTGCTGTTCCCTCTGTTTTTCCCAAATATCTGCTTGACTCACTGCCTCACCTCCCTCAGACTTTTGCAGAAATGTTGTCTTTTCCTCGATTACCCCATTTACAGTTTTTTTGGCTGCATTCCCCAGCATGTGGGATCTTAGTTTCTCGACCAGGGATTGAACCCTTGCCCCCGGCATTGGAAGCACAGAGTCTCAACCACTGGACCACCAGGAAAGTCCCAATTACCCTATTTAAAACTCCACACACACTCTCATCATCATTCCCCATTTCCCTCCCCAGTTTTATTTCTCTCCCAAGTACCATTTGCAATCCTATTTTACTGATGTGATTGTTTAGTGTCTTTCTCCTTCCATTAAGAGGAAAGCACTGTGAACCCTGGGATTTGGGTGTGTTTTGCTTGTTGCTGGAACCCCAGTGTGTACAGCTGCATCTGGGACATCACAGATGCTCAATAAGTATGTGGAAATGAAGGAACCAGTATCATTAACATCCACAGCAACAAAAAAGTCAGTGTGCAGCCCTACTATGAATGCAATGTGTCCCATATATTGGGTAGGTAACAGATACTAGTGTCTATACTAAGTAGTTGACACGCATCATCATCTCAGTTAGTTGGGAAATGACAGTGCTATTAGGAAGGCACTATTATTCTTACCATTCTACAGATGAGGAAAACCAGAGCTCAGAAATACACATGCAGGACTGACTCCAGAGCCATAGCCTTTATCACTGTGCTTCTCTGTCCCCTTACTGGGCAGGTGAGGACACTTGAGTCCCAAAGAACTGCTGGCACTTTCTCAAATCAATCAGGGGATAAAGCCAAGGTCAGAATTAGAACCCTTCTCTTTGCACTGCATCCCACATTTCTGCAGAGGAAGCGCCTCTACCAGTACCAGTCCTGGCCAAGCAGGGAGCTCCAAGGAGCCCATCTGAGACCTCCCCCTCTTCTCCCCTAGCGCTGGTGGAAGCTGGGGGAGGGGCTGCCTTCCCATCCCCGCTCACAGCTGTATCCCCTACAGAGATGTACCAGTTCAGCATTCAGGAGTCGGCCCCCATCGGCACGGCCGTGGGACGCGTGAAGGCCGAGGACTCAGACGTGGGCGAAAACACAGACATGACTTACCACCTCAGGGAGGAGAGCGGCAGCGGCGGGCACGTATTCAAGGTCATCACAGACAGCGACACGCAGGAGGCCATCATCGTAGTGCAGAAGGTGCGGCCGCCTTGGGAGCGATGGGGGAGGCAACCCCAGGGCAGCAGGGTCGGGAAGGGGGTCACTGAGCAGCCAAATACCCTATCCCACTTCACTCCAGGGATGAAGTCTCTCCAGAGACACTGGACCAACTTGGGGAAACGATGATGCTGTCCTTCCCGTTTTACAAAGGAGAACATGAGGCACAGAGAGATTAAGTGACTTGTCAGAGGTTGCACAGCTAGCTGTCAAGAGCCAGGAGTCAATCCAGATTTGAATCTGTGCTCTTACACCTATGCTGTGCTACTTTAAATTCACACCAGGCCCTTCACACTCATTGTTTCCTTTCATCTTCATGTTACCCTCCGAAGGAAAACATAATATGACCGTTTTTACAGGTAATAAAACAGAGAATTAGAAAGGTAAAAGGGCTTGCCCAAGATTATACCTGTAAGGGATAGAGTAGGATTTGAACCCAGGTCTGGTGACCCCAAAGTTCTTTCCTTCCTGAGTCTAACAGCCTCCTTACTGACCAGCCCAGGAACCAGAAGTTCAAACAGCAAACTCAGCACCCGATAGGGAAAGCAGACAGAGGTCAGATAAAAAAAGCAAAAATCATCTTCCAGGGCTTGGTCACAGGCTTGGCAACTCAGGGGTGCACAGGCCTTTGACACTGCCCACTCCAACCCTGCTGTTCCACAGGCGGTCTGAGTCCCCTGCCCTGGCCTACAAACAGTCATAAGCTTTTGTATACTCCCAGGGATGGGATGCTCACTCCCTACCAGTGTCCTGCTCCTCCTTCTCCCATTCAGCCACAGTCTATCTTGCTCCTGTCAGCCCAGGCTCTACCTCCTGGGACCCACAAAAACATCTTCCCTGACAGCCCTTTATTCACTCGATAATCAAACTCTCTCCCTGGCCGTGAGGGTTTGAGGATAGAGAAAACTCTGTTTCTTCAACTAGGATAAGAATGTGAGGCTAATACTTACAATGAAGTGTTAATAGTGTGCCAGCCTCCTTTCCAATGCTTTCCATGTATTAACTCATTTAATCTCTACAACAACCCTCTCAGTACTATTATTGCCCATTTCATAGGCGAGAATCTGAGGCCCTGAGTTCAGTCATTTGCATCCAAGGCCAAGCATCTTACAGAGAAGTTGTAGGGACAGGGCCCCAGGGAGTCTGTCTCCAGAATCCACCCTTTTAAACATTACATGGCTTTCTGACCTCCACTTGTCTTCACTGTAAGATAAGCCCATTTCACAGACGGGGGAACTGGAGGCCTGGGGTGGCCCAGCATCACAGAGCAGTAGAATCAGGCCCCAGGCCCAGCCTGGGGACCCCAGCACAGCATTTGCTCTCCTCCCCGGTGATGCCCCTGTAGTAACTCCCCCACCCCCCTGCCTCTTGCCCCATAACGACCCCCCCCCACACCCCAGCCTGCTCCAGCAGTGGCGCCTGAGGTGCCTCTGTGGAGTCAGTGGTGGCTCGGGGAGCAGAGCCCCCGCCTGATTGATGACCTGGCTCCAGAGCCCATCGCTCACTCCCAGGCCAGGTCCGCGCCTGCCTCCCTGCATCCTGATTTCCCAGGCAACAGGACGGGGGAGGAGGTAGCCCTTCTTTTCTTTTTCTTTTTTTTCTGTTAGAGAAGGGGGAGTGTGGAGGGGAGGTTCTGAGAGGAAAGGCGGGTCCCTAGACGGAGAGCAGTTCTCCAGGAAGGTGGCCCTAGCTGCCCAGATGTCTCCCCCAGCATGTGACAGTGGTGCCCATATTCCACCACTGCCCTCTCTCTGTGCTCTAAAGGCGTTGTCCTTAGAAGGCCAGAGCCCACGCAGCCGTGCAGCTTGTCCATCAGAGGGTCACCCACCAGCACTCCCTGATGAGGACCAGGGCTCAGCATAGCTTTAGCCAGGTCTCTGAGGGAAGCTCTAAGGCTGCCCAGCTTATCAGGCTCAACTCACATTAGCAGCTGCCACCAATAATACACCAGGAAGGTGTCTCTCACCCTCCCGCCCAAGGCCCAGAGAGGCCGAGATTGCCCGCAGACACACAGCTGGGCAGCCACAGATCCAGTGCCTTTCCTGCCGTGGGGTTAAGGCCTGGGACTTGACAGCTGCACTGCCGGGGATGTGAATCCCGCTTCTGCCAGGGACTAACTGCTAAGTGACCTAGGGCAAGTTACAGAGCCTGCTGGGCCTCGATGTCCTCACGTGTCAAATAGGATGATAATAATAATACAAGCCTCTTTGGGATGCTGTAAAATTAGATGAGTCGCTACATTTAGAGCACTAGCACACAGTGCTTTGTAAATTAATAAAACCAGTCTCGTGTGCCGGGTAGCAGGAAGGCTGGACGTCAGTATGTGACCCTGTGTCCCTGAGCAAGACTGTCCTCAGCAGGGCCTGACTTTCTCTACCTGTAACCCGACAGTGTCAGTGACGCCATTGAGTCAGTGATGCCTCAGCGAACTGTGACCTTAAGCCAGCCCCGCCCTCTCGGGGTCAGCCCCGCCCTCTCGGGGGTCGGCCCCACCCTCTCGGCGGTCAGCCCCGCCCTCCCCCCCCCCCCCCACCACGCACCGCCGAGGCCAGGCCAGCGCCCCCCCGCCCCCCAGACTTGGGCTCTGTCCGCCTGGAGGTGTGGAGTAGACCCCAGCCCACTCACCGGCCCTCTGCTCCCTCCGCCCATCCCTCCAGCGCCTGGACTTCGAGTCCCAGCCGGTGCACACCGTGGTCCTGGAGGCCCTCAACAAGTTCGTGGACCCCCGCTTCGCCGACCTGGGCACGTTCCGCGACCAGGCTATCGTGCGCGTGGCCGTGATCGACGTGGACGAGCCCCCCGAGTTCCGGCCGCCCTCCGGCCTCCTGGAGGTACAGGAGGACGCGCAGGTGGGCTCCCTGGTCGGCGTGGTGACGGCGCGGGACCCCGACGCCGCCAACCGGCCCGTCCGGTGAGACCCCCGCCCGGGGCCGACGCCTGCTGCCTGCTCCCCCGCCAGCGCCTGCGGACAGACGGCGGGCAGAGGGGGTGGGGACGGTGAGGGAGGAGGGGAGAGAGCGGTGGACCGGGCCGCCGGGAGCCAACGAGACAAAGGAATCAGATTCGAGAACAGTGGCAGAGAGACGGGGAACTCAGGATAAAGAGAGAACCGGGTGTGACAGACGCAGCAGTGACCTGGGCGACCAAAAGTAAAAAAAAAAAAAAAAAAGATAATTTCATCCTTCCAGCTTTTCAGGTCAAAAATGTTGCAAACATCCTCGACTTATGTTTTTCTCCCACACCTCCCTCCAATCCATCAGCAAAGCCTGTCATCTCCGCTTTAAAAACATCTCCAGAATCTGACCATTTCTCACCTCCTCCGCAGCTGCCGCCCTGGTCCAGGCCACCTGTTTCTCTTGCCTGATTACTGCCTCTCTCTGCTTTTGTCCTCACCCCTCTTCAATCTAGAATGGGCACAGGAGCCAGATTGACTCCCGCCCCACCCTTTCTCAGGGCCCAAACCGCCCTCCACTGGCCCTCCTCTGCTGAAAGCCCTCCAAAGTCACCTCTGGGGCTCAGGACAAAAGCCCAGACCCTATAGGATGTGGCCTCACTGTAAGCTCTCAGGCCCCATCCCCTGCTCACCTCCTCCCTGGTTCACTCTGCTCAGCCACACTGACCTCCTCACAGCTCCGGGGATACACCCAGCCCACCTCTACCCCAGGGCCTTTGCACCTCCTGATCCCTCTGCGTGGAATGTTCTCCCGCTTAACATCTCCATGGTTGGTTCTCTCACTTTCTCCAAGACTTTCCTCAAGAGTCACCTTCTTAGTGCAACCTTCCCTGACCACCCTTTCTAAAATGTCAACCCCACCCCAACGTGTCCCCACACTTCATATCCATGTTCTTTCATCCTTCATCACCATCTAACCTGCTACCCATTTTCCTGATGACTTTGTCCCTCTCCCTAAAAGATAAGCTTTAGGAGAATAAGGATGCATGTCTAAGTTCACTGCTGTATCCTCAGGACCTCACAACTGCCTAGCACTTGGTGGACGTTCCCTGATGCATGGTGAATGAATGAAATGGAAAAACAGAGAAAGACAGAAAAGAGAGAGGCTCCTGGAGAGGTAGTGAGACCAACAGTGAGAGGAAGTGACCAGAGAAGAAAAGCCAGTGGAAAGAGGGCAGGAGTAACTAAAGGACAGAGGAACTGACCTGACACTGTAGGAACAGAAAGAGGAGACTTGGAGAGAAAGCCAGACTCAGAGGCAGAGGCACGGGGGGTGCGGCGCGGGGGGAAGGGAGGCAGCGGCAAGTAGGCAGAGGCGACGGGATGCTGTGACGCTGTTGGTGTCCCTGGAAGGGTTTGCGATCTGCAGGGGTTGGGGAGTCCCTGACCATGGCCCAAGTTGAAAGGATATCAGATAGAAAGTGATCCAGAGGAGGAGATCAGGGTGGGGTGAATGGCCACTGCTGACTGAATTTAAGCGTCTGGAGCTTCCTGTTTATTCCCTGAAACCCTTGTACATAGTGAATGATCCCTGAGCCAACTGTGTGCCTAGCTCTGTGCCAAGCATTGGAGAAGGAGGGAAAGGAAGTTACTTTAAGGATCTCTACATTACTCAACTCCATATGGGTAACATTCTCACCATCATTCATGTGAATGGCTCCCTCCAGTTTGTCCAGTGCATAGCCTGTGCAGCCTTACATGGCAACCCCAAGGTGAGGACACAAAGATGTTTAACTACCTATGGGCTCCCAGACTGGAAGCTACCCTCAGGGGTCTAGAAAGACTTCCTGGAGGAGGCAGGAATTATACTGAGCTGTGTACCTGAGTCTGGTCAGTGTAACTATGAGGAGAAGGCTATTCCAGGCACAGGCATAGGAAGGCAAGAAGTGGTAGGTGTGTCTGGAGATGAATAGACTGTGATGTCTACAGGAAGCTGAGCAATGAACCAACAAGAGAAGTCTGATAGGGCTCAAAGATAGGCTGAGGGGCTCAGACTCAGTCCAGAGGTTCCGAATGCCTCCTAGGCTGCCTCCACCCTTCCCATAGCCAAAACCACCCCCCACTGCCTATGAACTCCTCCACCACCCTTCCATCCCTGCTGACAGTAGATACAGTCTTAAACATCCCCATCAGCCTCTGGCTCAGCCCCAGACCTTTCCCAGGAGGGCATTATCACCCTTGTTTGGCAGGAAACTGAGACCCAGGGAGGGGAGGAGGTTCCCTGGGCTCACAAGAGTTACCAGGCAGCAGTAGGAGCCTCGTCCTTGCCTCCCAGGTCCAGTGCGCCCCTCTGCCTTCTCCCCTCCTCTCCAGTATTGCTCTCCTCACTCCCGCCTCAGTCCTCCCCCTCCACCCTCAGTTGACTTCCCTTCCCCCTGCTTTCATCGGCACTGAAAGGGCCAACTTTGAAACCTGCTCCTCACCTCCTTTCATCTCTCTCTGCCGCCCCTTCCCTGGGGCTCCTCAGATGTGGAGGCGGTGAGGAGCTTGAGACAGGTCCAATTTCACACCACAAACATTTACCCAACTCCTCCTCCTCCGTGCCCGGCCTGGAGCCAGGCCCAAGATGACTCAGCCAAGGGCAGAGCTGGGGGGGAGCGCCCAGTCTGTAAGGGGACAGATGGCTAGAGAAGGGGTCCTCACAGACCACCTGGACAGCCCAGAGCCTGGCTTATGTTCCAGCTCCCTGAGTTCCAAGGGTCCTGGACTCCGTCAACACCTAGGCGTTGTGAGTCATGTCACATCCGGCACTATTCCAGACAATGGGGAAACAGCGGTGTAAGACCCAGTCTCTCCACTCAAGGAGTTTGCCTTCTCCTGGGGGGCAGGGGAGGCAGGGAAACAGCCAATAAGTAGTTGAATGTTTGTCACCACAAGTCAACAGATGGTTAAAAGGGGTCATTGTTGATGAGAGCTATGAAGAAAATAAACAAGGTAATAGGATAAGACCAACTGAGGCCACAAGGGGGCTACTCTGGATTAAGTGATCAAGGAGTTGACAAGTGAGTTGACATCAGAATGATCAAGAGAGAGCCAACTAGACCAAGATGTGGCAAAATGCATTCTGGGTAGAAGGAATGAAAGTGAAAGTCGCTCAGTCGTGTCCGACTCTGCAACCCCACGGACTATACAGTCCATGGGCCAGAATACTGGAGTGGGTATAGCCTTTCCCTTCTTCAGAGGATCATCCCAACCCAGGGATCAAACCCAGGTCTCCTGCATTGCAGGCAGATTCTTTACCAGCTGAGCCACAAGGGAAGCCCAAGAATACTGGAGTGGGTAGCCTATCCCTCCTCCAGTGGATCTTCCCAACCCAGGAATTGAACCAGGGTCCCCTGCATTGCAGGTGGATTCTTTACCAACTGAGCTATCAGGCGTAGAAGGAATAGCAAGTGCAAAGGTCCTGAGGCAGGAACAGGCTTAGTGTGTTCTTGGAAATGATGTGATATCCTAGGCGATTCTGCCTAGGATGGTGGCACCTGGGAAATCCAGAGATGCAGATGTACAGAGTGATTTTTCTGAGTCACTGTACTGCAGAGCATGGAAGATGCCTCACACTGTGGCGTTTGGCCCTCAGGATGTAGTTTACTCATTTCATAGATGAAGAGACTGAGGGGCAGAGAGGAGAAGTGGCCCTCCCCAATGTCACTCAGCCTGAAAGGGGGAAGGAATGGGATTTAACCCATGATTGTCTGATTCTTGAGTCCAGCCTTCTGCCATTTCACCCCTGCTTCTGATTCTCTTAGGGCTGCCCTCATAGCTCAGTTGGCAAAGAATCTGCCTGCAGTGCAGGAGACCAGGGTTCAATCCCTGGGTCAGGAAGATCCCCTGGAGAAGGAAATGACAGCCCACTACAGTATTCTTGCCTGGAGAATCCCATGGACAGAGGAGCCTGGTGGGCTGCAGTCCATGGGGTTGCAAAGAGTCGGGCACAACTGAGCGACTAACACTTCTTCTTTCTGATTCTCTTTGTAGTTTGAACAGCTTCCAACTTTATGCTGTGCCTTGCCCCATGCGTGAGGCACAGAGTCAGACGGGGGCGAAGGGGAAGGCTGGGGCCCTGGAGTGAATCAAGTGACAGATGTAAGATCAATGGGCTGAGCAGGGGCTTCAGGGCTCAGGAGATCCAAGAAGGGGCGGATTCTCTGGGAACCAAGGAAGGATGGAGCAAGGATAAAGAGGATGGGGTTGGAATGGGAGGGCAGCATCCAGGGTGGAGTGGTTGTGAGAATCTGGTGGCAGGAACAGAGTCAGGGAGCCAGGAGGTCAAGTTCAGGATCAGTGAGGTCAGCTGAATGAGCTCATAGGAGGGGCGTTGGGACCAGAGAGGAGGTCGGGGTGGGGGCACTTGGGGACAAGCTGTGAAGGACCCTGAATGTCAGGTGAAGGTGTGGGACTTTATCCTTAGGCAGTGCGAAGTCTTGGAAGGCTTTGAAGAGAAAGAGGAGAGGGCTCAGATGGGCCAGTCTCTGGATCTGCAAGGCAGCCTTGCAGACGGACTGGCTATTTATCAGCCCATACCCAGCCCTGGCAGCCTCAGCCCCCTGTGAGTCTCCCTTGAGCGTCAAAACAGGAAGGTCCACGCCGGCCAAGAGAGAGAGCAACCACTTCATCTCCTCCCAGCGTTCCACAGTGGGGTGCAACAGAAAGCACATGGGCTTCTAGAGTCAGAGGAAACCTGGAATGAATCCTAGCTCAGTCACAAAATATGGGAAAATCACCGCACCTAATCCAACCCTCAGTTTTCCCATCTCTAAAATGGGTATCAACGTAGTTCTTGCCTCATTCATTTATTTAAAAAAAAGTACTAAATGTCTACTATGGACCAGGTTCTAGGATCAGCGGTCCCAGGGTTGGAGGAAGGATTAAGTGTTTGGCACATAGTAGGTCCTCAGGAAATGGACCTTACCATTTTTCTCAGTGGTCTGGACACCCGGTACTCCCCTTCATTCTGCAACCAGTACTAACCCCAAACAGATTTCTAGGCATCGTGTGTGGGCTTTGAGGGTGTGCTTTAAAAGGGGTGGGGGAGGGGAAAGAGTCAAAGGCAGGATGGAGTGAGCAGAGAGGAATCCCCAGATCAGGGGAGTCTCCCCCACTAGGAGCTCAGGCGGGGGCTGCGTGTGCACGTGTGTGTACACGAGCCCGGATACAGGAGCACCGGGCAGCCTGGACACCCATCAGTCTGCACACTTTCGTATTTATCATGCCTGCGTGAGCTATATATGCACATATTTAACTGTCGAAAACCCACCTGCGCCCTCAAGCCAGGAAGACACACCCTCGCCACTTCTCTCGCCCTGACCTTGACAACAGCAGTGTTTTGTGCTGTTCCCAGGGTGTGGGAGCGCCCGCAGGTGTACCCAGCTGGCCCTGAGGCGGCTGCTCTTAGCTAGACGTGGGACTCTGCACAGACGAACATGGCTTGGGAATCTGGCTTTGCACCCATCAGCCCTTCTGCCCCAGGTCAAGGCGCCTGGCTTCTCTGAGCCTCAGTTTCCCCATGTGTAAAATGGCAGCAGCAGTGATGTCAGTTATCTGCAAGGCTGGGAGGGGCTCCTGCATGTGCAGCCCTTACATAGGCCTGGCACAGAGTCTTGCTGAGCAAATAAAAATGAGAGCGAATCCATACATCATGTGGCAGGGGCCCAGCGCTGTTAAAAGTGTTTTATTGGTGTTTTATTGGTAGTACTTGTCTAATCCTCACAACCAGTCTGAGGTAGGTGTTATTATTAGCACCATTTTTAAGAGGGAACCAAAGAGCTTAAGTGACTGACTCAAGGTGACATAGCTAGGTTGCAGACCTCGGCAGATGGCCGCCAGATCCCACTCCTGACCACCATTGCCAGGCTTTCTTGCACTTGTGCGCGCGCACACACACACACACACACACTAGTGGACACACACCTACACTCTCTCACTGCACTCTTCCACTCACACCTGCTCCTGTTCCCTTCCTGCCCTCCAGGTGCTGGCTGACCAAATGAGAGGTGAGATTTGAGCAGAACCTTCTAGACCACAGATGCCTTACTCCCATGTCCATACATGGTACCTCCCACCCCCAGGCCCGCAGACCAACACACTGGGTTGGGGGGCTCCTTCGTCTCTGGTCTTACCAGACATTTCTGAATTGTCATTAAAATAACAATAGTGCTCACTCATAGAGTCATTTTCCTGGAACCCAACTAGGCACCTGTCCCCCAGCTAGGCACATAATCCTCCCAACTACTTACAAGATAGGAGTAAAATCACTTTTCCATTTTCCTTAAAATTAAGGCTCAAAGAGGAAGTGGCTTGCCTGGGGTCATTGTGGATCCTGCTCCAAGTCTGAGTGCCCACCTCTTGTACCTTCCAGCTGTAACACAGCATCACACACACGCACTGACCACCTGCAACACAGACCAGACACACAACTTGAGCGCCGCCAAGTGACGGCCTCAAGCCTCCCCCGCTGCCCCCCACACCTGCCAGGCCACGCTCCTTGCCATGTGCCATGCCTTCCACCCACCCCTCTCTCTCACTCTCTGGCTCCCTGAGCTGGAACAAAGCCCTGGTCTGGGCAGCCACACCGACCTGCAGGCCCCAGTCTTCAGCTGGAAGATGGTGGCTCCCCACACCGCCCCCTCCCTCCCTATGGCCTTGGGAACAGCTGTCTCCACTTAGAATCCATCCCCCTCTTCCCCTCCAGGAGGAAACAAAAGAGTAACTGGGAGGAAAGAGAAGAGAGGACAGAGGTCTGAGCAGAGAGAGGAGAAAGAAGAAGGCGGTGGGCATCCTCCCATCAGCCCTGCCTCAATGCCCAGCCCCGACCAGGTGATCAGGGGCCCCTGACTCACTCAGGGGCCTCTTGGACTCACTTCTACCTGTAAAATCAAGAGGAGGTCTCCATGGTTCCTTCCAGCTGAGCCGACACTACTGAGTCTGGTTCTACCGCCTTTGGACCCAAACATCCAGCAGTTCAGGCTTGGGTCCACAGTGACCCGAGACTCCATGCATTGCTGCTTTGGATGGTTCAATGCGCTAGAAAGAACTCTGGGTGTAGGGTCCCAAATTGGGGTACAAATTCCAGTTCTCTGACAGTCCCCGTGCAACCTTAGGCAGGGTTTTCACTAGCCCATGTGGCACGTTTCGTAAATAAGAAAAAGGTCCTCCTTTGAGAAGATGCTCCCTGAGCTAGCACTTGTGGCTGGGCAAGAAGAACACCAGCTGGTCTTCATCCCCTCTACCCCTCTTCAGCCTAGTAACTTTGCGCAGGACGCAGCCTGCACAACCATACTTGGCAGCCCTAAGCTTGGGAAGCTGCCTCTCTCGTCCTCATCTGCAAAATGGGTTGACCACACATCAGCCTCACAAGATGCCAGGCAGGGCGGGGCCTCATCTGTCTCATTTGCCATTTTACCCCCAGAGCTTAGCACAGAGTGGGCTTCCCCTGTGGCTCAGTTGGTAAAGAATCCACCTGCAATACAGGAGACCCCGGTTCGATGCCTGTGTCGGGAAGATCCCCTGGAGAAGGGATAGGCTGCCCACTCCAGTATTCTTAGGCTTCCCTGGTGGCTCCGCTGGTAAAGAATCCGCCCGCAATGTGGGAGACCTCGGTTTGATCTCTGGTTAGGAAGATGCCCTGGAGAAGGGAAAGGCTACCCACTCCAGTATTCTGGCCTAGAGAATTCCATGGACTGTATAGTCCACTGGGTCTCAAAGACTGACTGACTTTCACTTTCACTTTAGCACAGAGCAGCACGGAGAAGGCATTCAGGTAATGTTTAGGCATAAAGGAACGAAGGGAGGGATGGCTGGCGGAAAAGTAAGCTACAGACTGTTAAGTGTTGTCCTGATGGGAGGAATTATCATCTTAGATCTGACCCACACACTTTCACCCAGGTCAGGAGGACCCAGGCTGATCAGGGCCAAAGGGGATGTGGGCTTAGCAATTTAGAGAGAGGAGGTGGCATTAAACCAGGGATTCGGGGGGCCTCCCTGGTGGTGCAGTGGTTAAGACTCTTCCAATGCAGGGGATGTGGGTTTAATCCCTGGTCAAGGAACTAAGATCCCACATGCTGTGTGGCATGGCTGAAAAAGAAAAAAACCTAGGGCCTCAGGAGACTAGCTGTAATGCCCACTCTACCCTCATGCCCAGCCCTTTGCAGTCTGCCACAAGCTTCCACCTCCATTACTGCAGTGAATATGAAAACAGTAAGGGCTGTCACCATTGCCCGGTTCCATGGATTACCTCCTCTAACCCACACCAGTGAGGTATGAATCACCCTATTTTGCAGACAAGTAAACAGAGGCCAGTGAAGTCCAGTGCCTAGTCCAAGGTCACCCAGGTGTAAATAAGCAGAGGATTCAAAGCCAGCTCCACCTGCTCCCAGAGTTCTGCAGTCCCACTGCTACCACTGTGTTCAGTAGTTTGCGACTCTTGGCGACCCCATGGACTGTAGCCCTCCAGGCTCCTCTGTCCATGGGATTTTTCCAGACAAGAATACTGGAGTACGTTGCCATTTCCTCCTCCAGGGGATCTTCCCGACCCAGGGATCAAACCCATGTCTCTTGCATCTCCTGCATTGGTAGGCATGTTCTTTACCACGGGCTACTTGGGAAACCCCTCCCACATGCACTGGGTATCATTATCCCCATTCAACAGATGAGGAAACTGAGGCCTGGAGTGGTTTGGTAATGCAGCCAAGGCCCACCGAAGGGTCATCTCAGGGCTTCGAGTTTCAATGTGGGGAGGGAAGGGGGTGTTCTGGTGTCGTCCTCTCCGTGGGCCTCAGTGTCCGGGCTCCGGAAGATGCGGGAAGGGCTTGTTTCCTCCGGCTGGAGAAAGGGGAAGGGGTGCCCCGCCCCACCAGGCTCCATTGTCCCCGCTGCACAAAGAGCCCTTGCTTGGCATTCGGGGGCCTTTGTAGGCCGCGCAGCCTGGCGGCGCCCCCGCCCGCGTTATCAGCCCGGGGAAGCGGCGGACAGAGCTGGCGGGGCCTCTCTGGGCCGCCGCCGCCCGAGACATGTGTTGGACACGGGCCTTTCAGGCCTGGAGCCGCCGCACAAAGGCCCGGGAAGGAGGCGGAACAAAGGGCTTTTTCACGCGGCAAGTGAAAAGCCGCAGATTAGCACGGGCGCGCTGCGCTGGTGGGGAGGGGCCGGCGGCCAGACTTCAGACCCCTTCCCGGCTCAGCCCGCGTTCCAGGTCTGGGGCCTCCGGAGAGCCTCGGAGCAGCACAGCCAGCTCCCTCCCTCCTGCTCAAAAATCCCTCTAGGTTCCCCAGGACCCCCAACGCCCTGAATTCTGCACTCTGCTTGTTCTCAAGTCTCCTCCTCCGCACTTGCCAGTTCTGGCCCTTTCTGCACCATTTGCCGTCCCCTGAATGAGTCTCATTAGCGCAGTTCTCACTTTGCAGCTTCTGTTCCCCATGCCTGGAATGCCACCCTGTCCCTTTCTCAAGCCCAGTTCTAGGGTCACCTCTTATGGAAAGATAAGAATCAAATACCCCGTGAGTGCTAACTCTGCTGGGCCCTTTACCTTCTTCCCGCCTTCACAACGACCCCGAGATGCAAATTATTAGCCCCGTTACCCAGCTGAGGAAGCTGAGGCTCAGAAAGGTAGAGCGTTGCCCATGGTCACACGTCAGGAACCCAGTGCAGCTGAGATGCAAACTCGGATCCATTTCCACTCCTCCTCTGCCGGAAAGGGTCTCTGCTTCCTGTGTCTCCCAGGCAGGTGGTTCCTCTTTAGGAGGAGGGTGGAGGGACATGGGCACCTGTTCCAACGGCGCCAGGACACCTTCAATCAGCCCTGACCTGCCTCTCTCAGGTACGCCATCGACCGCGAATCAGATTTGGACCAGATCTTTGATATCGATGCGGACACGGGTGCCATCGTCACCGGCAAGGGGCTGGACCGAGAGACGGCAGGCTGGCACAACATCACAGTGCTGGCCATGGAGGCTGGTGAGCCAGGGGGCGGGGTGAATACGGAGGGGAGGGGTGATGACCGAAGGGTGGGGCTATGGGCGGGGCAAAACCCAGGGAGGAGGGGCCGAAGGCTGGGGGCCAAGGCAAAAAGTTAGAAACTGGGCAGAGCTGAGGTGGGGGCTTGGTAGGCAAAGGCTGACCCATAGGAACACAGACCTGGGAAGGATCCCAAGCCAAAAAGGCAGGGCCCAGTCTTGAGTTTGGCTTTCTTCCTTCAACGTTTATTGAGCACCTACTATACACCAGTCCTTTTTATAGAGGCTGGAGCTATAGTCCCTAACAAGATAAAAAAAGAAACACCTTCTTTCTCCATGGGCTAGAGCTAGACCTTCAGCAAACTTCAAGAAAGGGTGTTCACATGTCAGCTGATGCTAAGTGCTAACAAGAAACTGGAAAAGAAGAAAGCAGAGGAAAGGGATTAGGAGGGAATTGTTTCTCTTAGGGTAGGCCTCTCTGTGAAGGAGACTATTCAAAAGAGAGCTCGAGAAAGTGAGGGAGTCATGCTGCCATTGGAGGGAAGAGAGTTCTGAGGAGAGAGAACAGCCAGTGCAAAGGCCCTGGGGTCATAATTGGAGAAATAGCAAGGAGGCCAGTGTGGCTGGTGAGGGGCAGAGTGCCATTGCAGGGTCTTTGGACTTGACTCCAAATGAGGCGGGAGTTACTGAGGGGTTTGAGCAGAGGAGGGAGGTTGCCTGACATGATACCTATGGCTGCTGCATTGAAAATAGATTGTCTGGGGGCTGCAGGGCAGGGGCGGGGTGGGGGGAAGGAGCAGGGGCTCAGCTGGGATTTACACGCAGCAGGTCCCTGAAGATGCGACAGTGGCCTGGCCCAGGGTGATAGCCATGGAAATGGTGAGAAGTGGTCAGCTTTTGGAGGCAGACTGAAAATAGAGCCGCCTGGACCTGCTGATGGGGTGAGATGGAGGAAAGAGACGGAGGGTCAAGAATGACTCCGAGGTGCTTGGCCTGTGTTGAAGAGAGTGTGTGTGTGTGTGTGCTCGAATGTCACAGGCAGTTTGGTGCAGCTGGGGAGGCGTGTGAGCTGAGAAAGAAAGAGGAGGCCCTGGGACATGGAGTCTGGACAGATCAGGCCACGGAGGGGAGGAGCTAAGAGCATAGGGGTTCATGGCACCCCAGGAGTGGGGAAAGGGCAGTTCAGCAGGCCTCCTCCTCAACCAGAGCCACGCTGCCAGTGCCGGTGCCGGACCGGCTCCGCAAGCTCCCTGTCCTGTCAGCTCTCCAAGCCTCAGCAGCCACCAGAGCCTCCAGTAACCGATGGTGACAGCAGGGATACTCAGTCTCAGCCTCGGTGGGAGTGGGCGCCATTCAGCCTCCCCTCTGCAGACCTGGGCTCCAAGGCCCTCCTGCCCCTTCGAGCCCTCCTGGAGGCGCTCCTCCTCCGCCTTCCCCAGCTGGTGCCTCCCACTTCCCTGGCCCCAGCAGCCCATTCCAGCCGAGGAAGTCCCTAGGCTGAAGTTCCCTTCGTCTCTTTCAACTTCGGTTTAAAAGAAAATACAAAGCTGGCTCAAACCTCAGTGCCTGCTGCTCCCAAGCCTTTGAATCCACTTCTCCACCGCATGAAAGGGAGATAACAAAGGTGGCTGGAGAGGAAGTGGTGGCTGGACTGGTGGGAAGGCAGGTCCCCCTCCTTACCTCCCTGAACCTGCTTCCTGGGCAGCCAGGGGGCCTGGCCGGGCTGCTGGGCAGAGACGCCGCCTCTCCCTACACAGAGCATCTCCCCACCAGCTGTCACACCGCCCAACGGCCCACCACTAGCCGGTGCCTTCTTGGGTTAAGCATTGTGCTTCTGCCCTGTGAATCTCTTCCAGAAAGCAACTAGAGAAGCATACAGAATCTCTAATGCTGCCATTTCACAGAGAGAGTATGTCAGGGGACTCTCCCCAGCAGAGATTTTTACAGTGTTTGCCTAATAGATACTGAGCTTGATCCTTTCTAGCACATACTTCTATTGAATCATGATCAGTTACAGGTCAGCACCCATTTTATTGATGGGAAAATCGAGGCTCAGACTATTAAGGGCTTTGCCCAAGGATGTGCAGTGGCAGAGCCGGGATTTGGGGCTGAGTCTTTCTGGTTTCTTCCACAGCTTTGCTCCACGGCCTCCCTTTTCCTGATACTCTGCTCTCTGGGCCCCACCCCTATTGCCCCCACACCATCCCAGTAACTGAGCGTGGGGAAGGAAAAGACTGGGCTAGAGACCACTCCCCTCAGAGCTGCAATTCACAACTCCTGCCCAAGTCTCACCGGGGATATTAATCAATGAGAAAATGAGTGGTTCCCACTTCACTGTGCTGGTGGGAGGATTAAATAGGATAGAAAGAACTTAGCCTGGTACTTAGTGCTCAGTTGATGATATCTATCCATCTGGACTCGGTGCACTTGCCTTAAGCACTCACTCTGTGCCAGACGCTTTACAGTGCTGTGTTCGCTGAAGCTCCCCACTTATCAGATGTCAATTCTGCCATCACCCACAACGTATGGATGAGGAAACTAAGACTCGGGGAGGTGAAGTCATTTGTCCAAATTCCCGGCCCCAGCCAGTCTGACTGCATGGTCCGGCGTTCACCCAGCAGCCCCCGAGTCATATGTCTTTGGTGCCAGGCACAAAGCCAGGAGCAGCGCCAGCGATCCACCCGCTCCAGCTTCTTGCCCTCTCCATGAGACGAGGACAAATTGTTATCCCCACTTTACAGACTGGGAAGTAGAGGCTCAGGAAGGAACAGAGATGGCCCCAAAGTCACAGAGCCAGTCACTGGGGGGTGGGGGTGGGCAGGGCTCCCACAGCCAGGCCGGAGCCTCAAGGACAATGCCCTGGGGTCTCCCCACCCCCACCGCCCCCCCCCACCCTGGTGCCCTTCTGCCAAAGCCTCTATTTGGCTTCTCAGAAACAGGGGACCGCGGCGGGGGTCCAGTGGCGGGGTCATGGTGCCCCGCCTGCTGCGGGTGCAACAAACGCGAGGTGACAAGAATCAGAGGGGAAATATTTACAAACAGCGGCGGAGGCTTGTGAGCCCCTCTGAGCACGCAGCACTGAGGCACAGCCGCGGCCTGTCAGGCCGGATTACCTCAAAGACTCCCCAGCCACTTAGCATGCGGGCTCCCCTCTCCCCCGAACTTCTGAGTCATCCATTCTGCCCATGCAGACGCTGCTTCCACTGACATTATCTTTAACGTTTTGTAATCATGAAATATTAATGACCGATATTGAATTTAAAGTACAATTTGTGTCTGAATCCTTCAGTGGAAAAAAGGGCAGTTCTAAAGGGACAGTCTTCAGAGAGACAGGGGTGGCGGGAGGGCTGGCGGAGCTGGCGCTGGGGTAAAGGGGGGCGGTGTGCCAGGGGGCTGCAGCCAGCCCCCTCTTCCAGGCCCTAAACTGGCCTGGAAGGGTGGTCTCTGGCTGGACAGCAAAGAGTTAACTAGATTAGCTAGAGCTTCCCCATCTGGGTCACCCTAGGCCAAGTCACCATTTCACAGGCTCCTGATTTTTCCTTTCTGTCACAGAGCAAGCTTTATGATTTAGGTATGCATTTGTGTGCCGACTTTGTTGATCTCTCTTCTCCTGGGAGAAGGACCTTCCATGAAGGCAGGGTCTCTTCCGTATCTGTAGCATTCACACCGGGCCTGGCGCTTAGAAGGTGTGTACAAATATTGGGGTGGCCAAAAAGGTCATTCGGGATCTTCCATAACATCATATGGAAAATCCCAAACGACCTTTTTGGCCAAGTCAATACTTCCTGAATAGACGGTAAATGATCTTGCCTGCCCAGTTAGGAAGGCAGGGCAGCGTGATAAAGAAACACTGCTTCTAGTGGTCTGACTCCCAGCTGAGAGTATGGACAGTCATTTTCCCTCTTCTTGCCTTGATTTTCTCACCTATGAAATGGCACCCTTTTGGATAGCTATGAGGATAATACCAGTTACTGTTGACTTTTAATCATGCATGCTCAGTTGCTTCAGTCATGTCCAACTCTTTGCAACCTTATGGACCATAGCCCTCCAGGCTCCTCTGTCCATGGAATTATCCAGGCAAGAATACTGGAGTGGGTGGTCAAGCCCGCCTCCAGGGTTTCTTCCCAACCCAGGGATCGAACCTGTCTCTCATGTGTCTCCTGCATTGCAGGCAGATTCTTTACTCGCTGAGCCACCTGAGATGTTCATAACTATTCATCATAGTGGCTTCTATTTATTTGAAGCTCACAGTCTGCTGGGTGTTGTGCTGAATGCTTTATATAAAGTGTCTGCTGGGGGCCTCTTCCCACCCACTGGGCCCAGGCACTGGAGTCTGGAGATTAGGGGGAAGAGGCTTGGCCTGTGACCTCGGGAGGTCTGATCCTGCTTGAATTTGCACTGGACAACACAGGGCAGAGGGGAGGGGGCGGGGGCTCCTAGGAGGTGCAGGCAGGGGAAGAAGGCAAGAAAGCTTTCCCAGAGGAGGGGTGTCTGAGTTGGGTCTCAAAGGTTAAGGAGAGTGGGGTTGGGAGCTCCCAGCAGAAAGACACCTGCGTGCCAAGGCCTGGAGGCTTGGCCGGCAGGAAGACCACTGTCTGTTCTGAGAAACGGGTGTGGCCGGAGGGTGGCTGGGGCAGGTGAGATGGCTGAGCACGCAGAAGCTCAGTGGGGGCCTCTACAGGAAGGGCCTCGGGTGTCCTGTGAGCAGCTGGCTGCAGCTGGACGTCTCCTGGAGACAACAGGGAGCCAGAGCAGGTCTTTGAGCAGAAGAGGGAGATGGTCAGATGTGCAGTCCCCTGCGTCCACTTGGGTTCATGGGGGAAGGGGGACGGGAAGGGGGCAGCCTGGAGCAGGGAACAGATGGGAGGCTGTCAGGAAGACTCAGCTGAGACATGTGCTGAGGGTGGAGGGCAGGCAGGAGGATGTGCTGGGGAGGCTGACTGTAGTGGTCTGGAGAAAAGGCTTAGCACAGCCCTGCATGGAAGCAGTTGCTTCAGAAGG